AAGATTAGGTGGCATATCCTAGGGCTATGTGAAGTCCGAAGAGAGGGGGAGGACACCATAACCCTCGAGTCAGGCCACCTAATGTACTTCCGCGAGGGAGACCAACAATCCCAAGGTGGGGTTGGGTTTCTGGTAAATAAGTCCCTATCTGACAACGTTGTGGAAATTTCCAGTGTGTCGAACAGGGTAGCGTACCTCATTATCAAGCTCACCGAGAGGTATAGCCTCAAGGTTGTGCAAGTGTACGCACCGACCTCGGCACATTCGGACGACGAGGTGGAGGATATGTACGATGACATATCGAGGGCCCTCCACTTCACAACTAAGACCCACTACAACGTTGTTATGGGTGACTTCAACGCTAAAGTGGGAGTACAGAATTGCGGCGAATCGGTAGTAGGATCCCATGGATTTGGAAGCAGGAATCATAGGGGGCAAATGCTGGTCAACTTCCTCGAACGGGAGGGGCTATTTTTGATGAATTCTTTCTTCAAGAAACAGCCCCAAAGGAAGTGGACGTGGCAAAGCCCCGACGCTATGACCAGAAATGAGATCGATTTCATCATGACGGATAGAAAGCACATATTCAGAGACGTCTCAGTGATCAATAGGTTTAATACCGGTAGTGATCACCGACTTGTCCGGGGCTCTCTGAATATCAACTTTAAGGCGGAACGTGTCTGTTTGATGAAATCCAGGCTCCGACCAACTCGGCTCCAAGCCATGACAGGATCTGAAACGTTCCAGTCAAAACTGGAAAACCGATTCGCTGCCGTGGAAACCACAATCGACGTAAACCAGAACCTCAATAATGTGGTTCAGATCCTCAGGGAAGAAGGTATGAGATTTTGTGAAATGCAGCGTAAGGGCAGGAAGTCGAAGCTTTCAGAAAGGACCCTAGGGCTGATGAAGAAACGACGTGAAAACCCACCTGTCACTTTGTCGGCAAAGCGGACTCTAAACCGAGAGATCAGTAAACTCGTACGACACGACCTCCGGTGCTCCAATACTCTTTCAATTGAAAGAGCGATCGAGCAAAATCGGGGGTCAAAAGTATTCGTACAATCTCTTGGAAGAAGCCACCTGACAAAGTTGACTACAGAAAGTGGAGAAGTCGTTGCTTCGAAGCCGGCAGTCCTTTTGGAAGTGGAAAGCTTCTATGGCCGGTTATACGCTTCGCATGCATCTCGACCTGATCCCGAAAATGAGGACTCTAGAGCCACATTAACACGTCACTACACCGAAGACCTGCCAGAAGTTAGCATTGACGAAATCGAGATGGCTCTTGGACAGCTGAAAAATGGAAAAGCCCCTGGAGAGGATGGCGTTACAACAGAGCTGCTGAAGGCCGGGGGTAAACCCGTACTAAGGGAGCTCCAAAAGCTCTTCAACGCTGTCCTGTTTGAAGGGAGAACTCCAGAAGCGTGGAGTAGGAGTGTGGTCGTCTTGTTCTTCAAAAAGGGTGACAAGACCAGGTTGAAGAACTATCGACCCATATCCCTTCTAAGCCACGTCTACAAGCTGTTTTCGAGAGTCATCACGAACCGTCTTGCGCGAAGACTCGACGAATTCCAACCACCGGAGCAAGCTGGGTTTCGGAGCGGATATGGCACCATAGACCACATCCACACAGTGCGGCAGATTATACAGAAGACCGAAGAATATAATCAGCCCCTGTGTCTAGCATTCGTGGACTATGAGAAAGCCTTTGACTCGATCGAGATCTGGTCTGTTCTGGAGTCCCTGCAGCGTTGCCAAGTAGATTGGCGATACATCAAAGTGATGAGATGTCTCTACGAAGCCGCCACCATGTCCGTCCAAGTACAGAATCAGCAAACAAGGCCCGTACCATTGCATCGAGGAGTGAGACAAGGGGACGTTATTTCCCCGAAATTGTTCACAAATGCAATGGAGGACATGTTCAAGACGCTGCACTGGAAAGGGCGTGGCATCAATATCAATGGCGAATACATCTCTCACTTGCGATTTGCAGATGACATCGTCATCATGGCAGAGACGTTGCAGGACCTACAGCAAATGCTGAATGACTTAGCTGACACTTCTGTACGCATCGGCCTACGGATGAACTTGGATAAAACCAAGGTCATGTTCAACGAACATGTACTACCGGAACCGATTGCGGTACACGGTGCCGTTCTCGAAGTTGTTCAAAATTATGTGTACCTCGGGCAGACATTGCAGTTAGGTAGAAACAACTTCGAGGACGAGGTGAACAGAAGAATTCGGTTGGGTTGGGCAGCGTTTGGGAAGCTACGTCGAGTCTTCTCATCGTCGATCCCACAGTGCCTTAAGACGAAAGTCTTTAATGAGTGCGTCCTACCCGTCATGACATACGGAGCTGAAACGTGGACACTTACGGTACGGCTGGTCCACAAGTTCAAAGTCGCTCAACGTGCTATGGAAAGGGCTATGCTCGGCGTTTCTCTAAGGGATCGCATCAGAAATGAGGTGATCCGGCAGAGAACTAAGGTCACCGACATAGCGTACCGGATCAGCAAGTTGAAGTGGCAGTGGGCTGGCCATATTAGCCGCAGAACCGATAACCGTTGGGGAAAACGAGTTCTTGAGTGGAGACCGCGTCTCGGCAAACGTAGTGTAGGACGCCCACAGGCCAGGTGGAGTGACGATTTGCGCAAGATGGCTGGCAGGAGCTGGATGCGAGAAGCCCAAAATCGATCTAAGTGGCGTGCAATAGGAGAGGCCTATGTCCAGCAGTGGACTGCGATAGGCTGATGATGATGATGATGATGATGAAGTTTTACTTCTCTTTGCAGTGTCGTTGTCCTGCAGAGTTTGCTCCCTTTGCTCTTGCGTTACCTACGGGATGAATAGGGGTGGTGACACTCCGTATTCTTAATCCGTCACCACACGGACATGAGTTTAAATATTTCTTTCTAATTTGGGTATCTATTTCTTCTAAGGTTGGCGGGTTACAATCAAATTTGAAACGAGGGCTTGCTGGGTTTTGTTCAATTGGTTCATGATAGGTCTTGTCATGTGTTGGCACCTCGTACGTAGTATCTTCTTCTTTTTCTCTTGAAAGGTATTTCTAGAATATTGATAAGGGTTTCGGTTAAACTCCACTTCATGCTTTGCCCTCTTTAAGTTGTCAGTTTTGTTTGCAATTTGTACTGATACTCCTTAAATTATCGAGAGAGAGGTATTGATCTTAAAGCTTTGGCCAGTTGGTGGCTCAGGTGGTTATCGCCCATAGCTTTGGCATTCCGGAGTCATCCAGTAGGCATCACCTCGATTTAACTAGTTGTGTCGATATATACAAACACTAATGATTGTATACTCTTTGGGCCTAACCTTCTAAAGATTTCCTTCATGACATTATGTTATCTGTCATTTATATCCCACTATTTTAATCTCAATAGTTTATAAAGCGTTTTCTCACACTAATAATTTATTAAATGCATATTACCGATACCTGAAATATGATTGTTTTAGCATTGTTTCATTGGACAATTTAATGAGAATACCAAATAAGTATTAAACAGGTAAGCATTGTACTAAGAGCAGCTTCAAAAAAGGGCTGGGAAGAAGATGGATGTTCTACTGGAAGACTACAATTAATGTCAAGACTTAGACAGAAATATTATTTGATTTTGTCTTTTTATCTCCAAACTTAACCTTCTCATCCTCATGGTTATAATGATAACTATATTTATAAATGAAAACATCTCACACACAGCCGTCTGATCCCAAAATAGGCAGAAATTATACTGTTGTACCAGAAATTACAAGCAGACACAACAAATAATAATGCTCATACCAAAATTAAATTTGTCTTGGGTGGTAATCAAACCCACGATCCGTGGCTTGGCAGTCAGATCAGTAGTCAGTAGACCAAGAGACAGTGAATTGCTAGCATTCTTATATAACTCATATAAGGTTTACACATAAGCCACTTCCGAAATTTATTACTGTTTGTTTTTGTTTATATTTTATCTTCAGATCTTCTTGGCTGGGGCTACTTAAAGCGGTCAAGGAGTACCTACTGCAGCTTTCTCATTCTATTATCGGGTTTCCTATTAACACCTTTTACAATGTTATCGCAAAACTTTAAGCATTCTGGTGAGTATTTATATTCTCATAATATTTAAAATGCATAGGTTCTACATAATGATTTTCCTTATTACCTCATTTGTGGTTTTGAGCACGCCACATGTAGATGCCCATTAGAAAAAATATTTATTATATACTCGTAAGTGTACACCGTTTTTAACGTATGGATGTCTCTAATAGGACCCTCACCTTGATAACAGATAGCTGGTGTTACGTAATAGAGTACTACTTGCCGCAAACTCAGATGTAGCCTCGAGAGGAAATCATCTATTAAATCATAGGCGACCAATTCGCAATGTTTTAGGCAGCACGCTACTATTTTTTACCTGTTTCTGCAAGGGCGAAGTAGCGTTGAGTAACCGTGACCATTGCCCAGAGATCGTTTGCAGTCTCCAGTGCCTGGTGTCCCTTCTGAGAGACAGGACTCGCCCTGTCTCCCTTCATTTTCAGCCACCTCTTTGTCATAATGAAATTAAAGATTTAGACCAAAATCATAAACATCATCACTAAACTATATCGATTGTCAATAAACTTACAAGTTCATATTGAGACTTTGCATGTAAACCACTTCCATGTAGTATGCGATGCCGTATGGTGCACAACAGAGTCGTCAGGCAGCGACGCTGGTTTCCAGCAGAACCTTTAGCATAGAGTGATATCAGTGTTCTAACGATGGAGTGTGTTGGGTTTTGTGTCAAATAAAAAACGCGCTTATCGAAAATTCTTTGCGATCCATAAATTCGTTAGGGTTTTTGAACATGGATTAAAAAAATATTTTTATTTTTCAGATGGTTTCAACGTTTAACAAAAGAATAATGGAATGACTGGCACATGATTCATTGTCCTAATTGTTTTGTGATTGTGTGTGTATGTTTATAATAATTATTATGGAGCTATTTTAGAACATAATGAAGCAATACTTTGAATGCTTCGGCACTAATTCTGCAATTAAAAGTCCTTCGACTCGATCATCGGTGCATAAACTTATAGCAGATGGCAGAAGAGCTGAGCACGAAAGGAAAGTAGCTGAAAAATTAATTAAAAGCCATGCTGCACACGAGTGCATGAGAAAAGGGTTAATTTCAGCTAGTGGAGGAAGTGATGAGATCAGATCAGAATATAAAAGTAAAGATCATGCAGTTGCAAATACTCACCCATTTGGTAACAAAGAAGTCAAACCGTCACAGTTTACTAAATCTTGTAGCTGTTATAAATATTACTGTCCTAGCTCCATAATAAAAAGACATATTTCTGTATGTCAACATTGTATGTGTCAACGGAATGTTGAAAAATATATAAAGACACGCCGTAAACGATTTGGTTCAAAGATGTCTGCAGCAATGAGGAGTATACGTTCTGACCCTAAAAGTGTTTGTTCCGTGCCATGTTTACCATGCTTATGCACGACTTTTTTGATACATTCATCGCATGTTTTATCCAATTCCGATATGAACAAATCTTTTTCACGATCAAAATCAAGATGCAAACATAGAATTTACGAAAATAATAACAAAAGTAGCTTAGCGTGCGCAGCAAATGGAAGCTTTAACCATATTTATCCTCATCAACGAATGACAAAGATTAAAGAAATACAAAATATGCCAAAAGAAATAAATTGTTTATCAATGTTTAAAAACAAAATTAATCCTCCTTCGTTTAAAAATCTATATCAGAATAATCGAGAAATTAAAATGCAAAATAGATACTTGGTTGAGTTGAAACCTAACATAGAAAAGAAAAATCATATTTTGTTTTCCTTTGATAACGGAACATCACTTTTTACATCAAGAGAACGCAATCTAAGTAATAGTAAAAGGAGAATAAAAGCTTCACATAGTTGGAAAACTAACCAAAACCATAAAACCATTAGTACTACAGACATTTTAAAGCAATCTACATCAAATGCCAATTCTCACAGTAAAACGTCTGTATTTGAAAGTAAAATTCTAAACAAGCAAAGAAAAAGAAAATTTGTGCATGCGAAGTCGAGTGCAATTTACATAAATAACATTCACAGAAAACCGAATCCAAAGAATATTTCATTAATGCGTAACTGCTTTGGTACTTTAAATCCTTTAAATAAACATAGTTCTACAAAAGAATCTAATTTAAGTATTAACTCTGAGATATTAGCAAAAGCACGTGTTAAATCAAAGGTAGAAAACACTTATAACGAATTTTATTGCCTAAAATGTCCAAAACGTGTATCCTCTTATAATAAGCAAGAAAATAACTCTACATTTGAATTTTATAAACATGAAAACCTTCACAAATTAAATAGGGTGAGACAAAAGATTAAAAACGATAATTCAGAAACAGAAACATATATATTTTGTCAAGAAGCTATAAATCCTCTATTTCATGAATGTAGATCTCGAATCTATATTCCTAGACAATGCAATTGTAACAGGTGTGTAAAAAAATTACTTGATATGCAGCACAATAAGAAATTATCTCCTATAAGAAAGTATTCATGTACGTTTAAATATTCTTATAAAAAAGAGAGTAATATGAAAATGAATCAAAATGATCCCGGAGCTATGGGTAGTAAAAGTCTTTATGAATTATTCAGACCTGACTGTAAATCAACAAAAATTGTAAGAAAAAATAGACACATCAAACCCAAACTCAAAACTTGCAAGTGTACATCATTTCTCTGTGATCCTGACACATATTATGATTCTTGTTTTTGTTTTAAGAAGAAAAGAAACCGTTATCGCAATAGATATGTCTCCACATTAAAAGAAAAAAAGAAATCAAGAAAAAGCATGACTTCTAGTCACTGCAAAACAAGTAGTACTCAATCTCGAGTCAAAATAAATGCAAAACGGGCTAAATCGGAATGTTGTTGTCAAAGACATAATTTTCAAAACCACTATCCAAGTCATGTAATAGAAATAGGTAAGCATAATGAGCTGATTAGCACATTCGAAAAAATATGTCAATGTGGCAATGAAAAGGACTACCCAATCAATCAATTTAGCCGATGTGAATTAAACATTACTAAACGAGGACATATTGGAATTAAAAAACATGATTTAAAAGCACACTCGTTTTTCGTTAGCAAAAGCGCTTACGATTTAAAAAAAAGTGATAAATTAACATCTAACTCCAGGCAAATAATCCATAACAAATTCATAGTTCAAGAATCCATTAGATCAAGAAGATTATTCAAGAATCGAAGAAAAGTAAGTGATCATATCGCTGCCCTAGGAGGTTACTTTAGTCCCCATCAATGTTATCAAGATGAGTGTATGGGGAGAAGAAACAATAGATTAAGATCTCAGAAGTCCGAAGCTATCATTAAAACTAGGACAGTCGGAATTATAACAAAAAGAGCTTTTAAAAAACCAAAAAAAAGCCATAAATATGCTCAAACACATAATTCTATAAAGCTAAAAGTTTTTCATAGCCCCAAAGACATAACTCGTTTTGGGTCGTCAGGGCACTTTAAGAGAGTAAAGAGCAAAACAAAACGAAGCATTTTAATTGACAATCTTTGTGATTCTAAGCTTTACAACAGTGATAGACAAGTAAGAATGAGAAATGCGCTTTTAAAATTATTATTAACATTAGCCGATGCTAACAAACTTCGTGAATTTCCCAAAGTAAAAACAAATAGGGCAGCACGCATAACACGTTCACACACCGTTCCAAAGATGCCAGTTGAACTTAAAAAAGCTTTAATCAATCCTCGGAGTAGACGCATTTTTACAATAGGATCTAACATAAATTTTAGCATACAATTTTATAAAGATGACAGCTTTGACGTGGATCAAATTGCCTCTAGTCCCAAAAAAGGTAACTTATGTAATTTCTTTAATATAATATATGTAGTATTATTAGAGTATGCTAACATCTGTTCCAATATATGTAGTAAACTATAAACGATTGAATTAAATAGTTGCACAGACAGTAGTTAAGAACAAAAATGTTAACGCAATAAATATTTATGTAAAATACATTTGCTAATTGTTTATTTTTTAAATTGTGACTGTTTCGATCTAATCATTTATTGAAATTATTGATGACAGTTTGGTATTTTGGTTGAGTTTTTTTTGTAGTACATCCACAATGTAACAATTGTTTGTGATGGATGATGCCGCCTGATGTGCTGTGATGAGCATGCAATAAAAACATATTGAAAATGCAATAAAAAAATCGTTTGCCGGTCAGAGTTAATGAGGGACCTGCAGAAATTACTATCGAAGGACTCTTGTTATTAAATAAAGTAGTAACAAACACAATTGAGTATTATTGAGTTACGTTTCTTAATTATCAATTGTTTGAAATGATCTCAAAAATTTTATCCTCTTCATTTTCGAAGCGGAGAAATGTTTGCTCGTCGTCGTTACAACAAGCGCTTAGTATTAGAGGTTATAAAGAAAACCACTTATGAGTATGGTAGTACAGTATTAAAGAAAAAATATGACCATTTTGCAGGATCCTCAAATTCCCACACCGTGTCGTTTTCTCCATACGAGTACAAACGTGTAAGTTTGGGGCCTTTAAACAAACTCGTCTCTGTAAATACATCATCCAACAAGTCTAAAAACGTTAGCTTAAATAACAAATATTATAAAAGTCGCAAGGATATTGAAAGGAAGGAAATAGTCAAAAGCATTTCCAATCATCAATTTCTTGAAAACAAAAACTTTATTTTACGTAGAAACAATAGAAAAGATAAATCTAAACGTAAGCGCAAGATTCACCAGTCACCTCATGAGACTTCTATCAAATATCCTGAAAATATAACGTCAATACACCAATTTCCTGTAGAAGATAACACAGGGTCTTACAGTAAAGACGCTAAATCGAAGATCCATTATAATAGAGCTATTCGTGAACAGTCTAAAGAAAAACAGACAGTCAATAGTAAAATGTCTAAAAATAAACTGAAATATAAAGAAAGTAATAAACAAGGCGAAATTAATCGTCAGGAATCCAAAAAGCTACAACTTAAGGATAATGGAAATATCAAGTATATTAGCACATTGCCGCTTATATCAACCGTAGGCAATGATAAAGGTACTTTGACCAAATTTAAAAAAACTGAAATTACCGATAATGAATGTGAATCACACGTTTGTATGCCAGGTATATGTAATCCAAAAAGTTGTTTGAATAAATTTAAAAATAAAAGAAAAACTCTAAAAGATGTTTCAATATCAGCAAAACAGGAAGTAAAGTCAAAATCAGTCAGTACAGATGCGTATACACAAGAAACGTCTATCGCTAAAGGATGTTTTTGTATTCTCATGAATAAAAAATATAAAAACATTGAGATACCAGAAAAAAATCTAAATTATAGTATCACAGATAGAGGTCATCTTAAAAAAGCAGAGCTTGGGACACCCTATGTAAAGATAAATAAGCAGTCAAAGGATAAAAACTTAATATGTAAATGTTTTACTAAATTAAGGTTATCCGATGCAGGAAAGGAAAGTATTATAGCTCTAACGCGTAAACCTGCAATGTACAAAAGAAGTCAATATCAAAAAAACGTAAAGAAAAAAATGCCTGAAGCTGTCATTAAGGCAAAGCAAGACTTAAAAATAAACACTTATGGAAACATGGAAACATTAATGCCATACTCAAAAAAAAAGTTCAAGAAGAGCAGGAGTAGGATGACTTTTGTTGGTTTTAATGAACCTAAAAACCAAGAACTTGTAACCAAAGTGTCTATTAGTAGTCCTAAAGGATATGAATATAAGAATATAAAGGCACAGAAAGATAAAACTAGTGAAACACGACTTAATCAATCAATTAGAAGTAAATATAAAAAAAAACAAAACAGAGTGATTCGAATAGGATTGAGAAACAATACATTTCCACTAGTGAAATGTCTAGTATCCCTCGAAAGATAGTAAAGCTCGCGACACCCTATGAAAAGTTAAGTAAGAAGTCAATGGGTAAAAACTTAATATGCAAATGTTTTGCTAAATTTTGGTTTCTTAATGCAAAAAAAGAAAGTACTATAGCTCTAAAGCGTAAACCTGCAGTGTACAAAAGAAGTGATTATCAGAAAAATATTAAGAAAAAATTGTTCGAAACGCCTAAGAACGCAGAGCAAGACTTAATAACACATAATTATGGAAATATTAAAACACTAATGCCGTATTCAAAGAAAAAGTTTAAAAAGAGCAGGAGCAGAATAACTTTTGGCGGTTTTTATGGATCTAAAAACCAAGAACTTATTACTAAAGCTTCCATTAGTAGGTTAAAAAGATATGAATATAAGAAAATCAAGGAACACAACGAAACTAATGAAATTCGTTTCAGTAAGCTAAACAGATATGATAAAAATAATAATTCAAAGGAACAAGACTTTCCTACCAGTGCAATTTCCAAAAGATCAAAGCTGAATATTTTGAACAAAATTGACAAACACTATATTTCTAAAACTGAAATGCATAGTAGTCGCCACAAGGATCAGAAACATAAAAAAATAAAGAAACAAAATACTAATCATAGTGGCATTTATCTTAGTCAACCATCAGGTAAATATAAAAAAGGTTTAAAACGCAGCGTGCGAAATAAAATTGAGAAAGAATATTTATCGTCACCTGGGATGCCTATTAGTCACCCTAAAAGGCATAAATACAGAAAAATCAATAAACAAAATGGGGCCGCTAGTGAACTTTTGGAGCAACGAAATGGAAGTAAATACAAAAAAAGAAAGAAACAGGATATTAAAGGTAGTGAAATTTTTGTTGGTCAACTAAGTAATCGTGAACAAACAAAAAAGGAAAAAGAAGACAAAGTTGCAACTAAAGTAATAATTAATCGCGTGTCTTTAAGTGAAGTAACTCACAGCCTTCAAAGTAGAAGTAAATATGAAAAACGAAATGAAGATAACCACCTGAAATCTATATCTAATACTAGTAATAGAAGACAAAAATCACAAAGCCCATTGAAAACAAGAAATCATAACTTTTTTGTAAACAACATGGATACATTTCGCGTTTCGCAACATGTTCCTATTGAATCGAAATCATCTGAGACGCCTGTTATTTCGAAATGTCTCAATGGTATAGCAAAATGTTTTAGAACGGCTATTTTTAATTTACCTTTAGGCTTCCTAAAGAAACATAACCGGCTACACTCTTACCACTACAGAAACCTGAAAGCCGAAGAAATCGTGTTAACCGGACAGAGGTTTTCAAAGAAATATAAATATGAAGAAATGGTTAAACAAAGTAGTCAACACCCTCATTCTTTAACGTCTACTGTCACACGGCCTACCTGCTTATGTCCACAAAAAATCTTTGATAATTCTGAATGTTTCAAAACTACCGATAAGGAAAACAGTGTCTTTAATGACGGATTGTCCTACAACAAAATTGGGAATTCTTCCAAACATCTCAATAATCATTTTAAACTAATAACATTTAAAAATGGAAAATATACTGAATTACAAAGTAAAACTATACGTGAGATTCCACACATACCTCTCGCTGATGTAGGACTGTCCGAAAATATTAAAATATTGAAGTCTTGCCCTTGTTGTGGGAAAGACCATAATCAACCTGAACTCAGTATATCAGGTCCAAAATCCGTACCCAGCTTCTGCAAATGTCTGTACAGAAAGAAAAGTAAACCGACTTTGAGATCACAAGATTGTGCAATGTGTTTAAAAAATAACTTATTCGAGGTTCCTCCTGCTGACTTTTGTTCAAAGAAATGTTTGATGTCTGTTACTTCTGATAAATTTGAAAGTGAAAATAAGATAAGAAAACCGAAAAAGCTGAAAACCGAAGTGGACAAAGCATGCCCTCTTTTCGGTGTGGTTGTGGACTCTCACACTATGAAGGTGACTAACAAAGACGAAGTATATCGCAATTTAAAAGCTAACTCCCATTCTGGTGCTAAGAAGCAAGATATTGAAAGTAAGAATTGTTAAAATATATATAACCTACCTAAATATAATCCTACTATACCACGCTGGCCAGACGGGTTGGTATAGAGTTTGTTTAAAGTTTTCCTTCTTTTTGCCACAACCTCCTTTCTAAGGAGAAGCCTATGTCCAGCAGTGGACTATTATAGGCTGTTGATGATGATGAAATAATAATCCTAAAAGAGTCTGCATTAGTCCACTGACGTATTCCAGAGTAAACGGACACTTAGTGACTAGATATTCGGTAAGAATTTTGGCTCCTATCAATAGCTTCATCTCTTATAAGTTTTAATTGTCAAGTATTTACATTTTGGTTGCGAAGTGCCGTAAAAGTCTTTTTTCTTAACCCTTTTGTTTTCTTCAAATAACATTAAATGGATAATCAAACTCAAAGAGTAAATGCATTAGCATTAAATGTTAAGGCAATGTCTCTGTTTTTTCTCTTTGCGAGACACTCTGTCTGGTGAAGAGCTTATATTCCTCCAACACGAAGAAAAGATCCTGCAACGCAGACGGTTGATATTGGGAAGTAGTAATTGGTGCGAAAAATTTCATTGGGCGATGCAGAATTAGTAGTAGTTCTATAATATTATTAAAGATGTTTCTGTTTTATTGTACGTGGAAGTCACCACACACTAATTAAATTTTCTAATGAATGACGTATGTCACGTACTTTTACCTTTTCATATACCTATTGAATTTTCCCCTCTTCATATACGACAGACTCTACAAAATATAGACATATTTGAAATAGGTACTCTAAAGAAATTAAATTTTAAATAAGTTTGACTGACGTAAAAGGCCAATTTCAAGAAGTCTACTATACACTAAATATTCTATTCTATTTATTAAAAAAATACGATCCAAGAAACTAAAAGGGTTTTGAACCTTGTACTCGTAGTTTTTATAGCGATGTCAATATAAAAACAAGAAATACTTGTATTTCCTTTTTTGAAGTTCATTGACATTTTTAAATCATAAGGCCAATTCTCGTACCAAAAGTTCGGTCACAATTCAGTTCCGATCAACTCTAGATCTCACAACATTGTCATACATGGTACTTTCGTAGTAAAGAATTAAACATCCAGTGTTTACTGTTATGTGATTATATCGTATTGTAAGCAAAAATTGAATTGGTAATCTGCTAGTCTTAGTAATATTTTATCATTTTACGAGAATTGGCCTTCAGGATTTAAATTTATTTTAAAACTTTAAGTTTCTTTTATTACTTACAGGGTCTGAAAAAAAACAGGCCGTACCACCAGCTATCGATTTGGTTTTAAATAGAGATGATACTGTTTTTGTAAATGGTGATTACTTGTTACGAACTTTAGATACAAATCGTAAAAAGATGAACACAGCCTTGAATATGAAAACAAACACTCCACACACAATGAGTCAACCTTGCTACCGTCATTTGTTAGTAGAGAGCCAACCAATTAAGGCTGTCAAAAGTGATGAACCAAAAAGTCATCACGAATATTGTACCTGTTGCATTTGTAGCAATATCCAAAAAATGCGCTGGCAAAATCATCCCAAGAATTGTACTTGTTGCATTTGTCGATATGATTGTCGTTATAGTGTGAGAAGTAGAACAAAGCAGCAAAAAAACAAAAGTAAGACCAAAGTTGAAGAAACAAAAGTTAAAAAGAAGCCAGGACTGAAAAAAAATAACAAAACATTGCAAGTAAGGAACAAAGACCCAGGGAACGTTAAACTCTATGAAACTGCTTCTCAGATATCTTCATTAGTGCGTAATATAAGAAAAGTATCAGGACATATAACCGGTTTTGTATCTAATATAGAAAAGATTTTTAACCAGCTACGTGTAAAACCATGTTTTTGCGGTCTCACAATCTGTAAAAAAGAAACCAGGAAACTTCAGGAATTACGTCGAAGAAATCTCAAATTAAATGCACCACCTGATTGTGTGTGTGGCAGTAAAGTATGCAAACTCAAGCATACGAAGAAAACACCATATTATAAATCAAAAGCAAAGAGAAAAAAAAAGAAGGCCATAGAAAACAAGAAACGGAACAAGAGATTTAGGCAGGCAGCTACAGCAAGAATAAAACGATATTCTAAAGAAGATGCTTCGATGCGGAAAAGGATTAAGCGCCAAGATAAAAAAGCTATGAAAACTGTGGAAAAGTATGAAGATGATATTAGCAGCTGGGTTATGTTAGCTGAAAATGCCGCGGATGTTGGGCGATTTACCACAAACACAACTAGTCGCATGATAACGAGTGTTAAAAGAGTAATTTCTCATCCTAGAGACATCAAATACAGGGCAATGCTAGCTTACACTGATCCAAAAGGCACTGCAGCCAAATCTTTACAGGACTTTCGTGATAGTGGTTATAGTGGCACTCTTGCAAGAGTTAGGCGTAGATGTGCCACTATGCAAATATCAAAGTACTTGATATCCGCACTGGACAGCCACCCAGTAACTAAATATTTGCTTCATTACCGTGATAAAGATCCTAAACAAAGATTATTAAAACAAAAGCCAATGAAAGAAAAGCGAGATATTGAAGGCAATACATTTTTTACCTCTTTGAGAAAAAAACCATGTCTGTGGCTATATCGTCTCTGTCCTGGGTTCTATCCACATTGTTTGAGTTTGTTGACTTTTTGGAGGCAATTCACTGACGTTTTTATATTTCTCTTAGCTGTCGCAGTTTGGAGTCCATGTATCCTGTGTACGGAGTTTTGCAGAGCTGTTATATGTTGTTTGATGTGTGCAGGTGGAGTTTGATTTGTTATCTCGATATATTACACATTTTTTTTACAAAAGAATATACAGTAATACCCGAAATATTATTAAGATGTCATTAATGATAGTGAACGCATCAATATTACATACCTTTGTACATATTTTAAGGCAGATCACATATAACAAAACCTGTAGCAAGTGGCCTAAAAAACTGATTTCATGTTTTACTTGCTGTATCTCTGTAAATTATGTTTGAAATTATTAAAAGCCGATAGCCGTGCGACACATGAAGAACAATAATTTGTCGTAGGGTCATTAGATCCACCCGACACCCGACCAGCACCTCCTCACCTCGAGCGGTTAGTATATTTTGTATGGAGTTACGGGTATATGGTCACTACTCCAGATCGCCTCGCTTGCGGGATGAGCACACGCGGACGGCAACTGGCGCATTCGGTAACAACCTTTGCTAATATGCGTTGTTCACGCGCAGGTCCCGGATGGATCGCATACTGTCCGCTTCCTTCATTTCTAGTGTGTAGACCTAGTGACGATCCACCACTCGTTGACCACGCGACGTTTGTGCGCTATGACTTAAATATCCTCATTCGGTCTCGTAACAAGGTTATGCTATTTTACGAGAATGAGTTTTCCTACAAACGAAACAAATGAACAAATTAATGTTATTTTTCATAACACAAACCTCTTGAGAGTTTATATAATTTACGTAGCTCTTTTTATGTCTATAAATGTATAAAAGTAGCAATGTTGAATTGTCACATTTCAGCATTATTCAGAATTGTCACATACATAGATATATATTATTTAATTCTTATGCAGTTATTAAAAACATCGGGATATTCGAATTTGAAATCTAGGAGATTTTGACTTGTGCAAGGGTAATCGAATCCTAACTTTATATATACGAGATATCAGAAGGCCAATTCTCATAACAAAAGTTCGGTTAAATGAATGCTATATTAGATAGGCCCGGAGGTGGCAGTGGCATCTGTTCCGAGTTGGGTTAGACTTCGTTCAAAGGACGAGCGTAACCTATTAAGAGTTTCTTAGATAGAGACTCGCACTACAAAACAATTAAAAGAGGCCAACTATGCTAGTGTGCGTGGAAATCGAGCGTTTATAGCTAAGGTTTATAGTGACAGCGACAATGGAAACGATCTTAGTGGCCAACGATTGACACAAGTACCTAGCTATATCAATGATCTAAGGTCTCTATGTAGATCTCTTACCATACGTAGCGTGTGTGTTCAGAAGTAAACTAAATGTTTGAATCAGACCACGTAACAGTAGAGGAGCCCATTATGCTAAATGGGGATTTACTCGAGCTTAAAAGGGACTTATTGCATTTGAAACATTAGATAATAGAATGAATAAAAGAACATAATGTTTCCACTTACAGCGGTGGGAAAAGCTTCTACAGGTTTTCAAAACATTGACGATAAGTTTGCAGGGCAAATCGAAATATGAGAAATAAAGGCACGATAAATTATGTAGACATTTAAAGAAGATAGCCGGCATTTTTTGCTTCAAAATAAAAACATCGGTAATCGCTCGAGTTGTTTTTAGAACTTTGTGACCCAGATTTTTAAATACACACGTCGGCATGTAATTTTTTTTTCAAAATTCTACTAGCAACCGAAATTACTAGTATTCCCGTTAACCCCTCCTCCTAAGCTTGTGTCAGGAGTGGGTCCACGTCGGTAGTGTACTGGTTAGGATTTGAACCCACGACCTCTTGATCGCAAGTCCAAAGCCATAACCACTAGGCTACCGCTGCTTTAAATTAACCCAACTTACCTTAATCTTACAATCTCGAGTATTATAGCCATCGATTTTTTATACCAATCCGATGGTCTGCCCAGACCCTCGGCCCGTTATGTAGGGCTCATGTATGATGAGGGTACTGAACTGGGTGTAAGGTATTCTTCCATATGTTAATCTGCCACGCTCGAGTAAATTCTGAAATACCACGTACCTACTACGAAGTATGTATTTTAAGGCATTACGAGACAGATATGATAATTGAATAATTGTATATTGTAGACTCCCATGCTTCATTCTGGTCCTGTTTTGCGATTCGATAAATCTTGTAATAATGGACAACTCTAGTACAAATAGATGAGGAAAAATATCATCTCGTAGGGCCACACCATTGCCATCTCGCAAACCATAGCAGCACGTTAATTCCTTTAAACAAAACCTGTCAGGCAAATACAGGACACTCACTTACTGGGGTCATGTGTCCGATCCATAGCTGCACAGGACAGCAGCTGACTATTGTTCAGTTTACACTACGAGACCGTGTACTGAACAATAGTATTTTATCTATCGTCAGCATACTCATAGCCTATGCAAGCGTCATTCTGGTCGTTTGGTCGTAATACAACAATACAAAACTAAGATCATAGATTTAGTATACGATTGTCTATTCAATAATGTCAATGACTTTTTTTGTAAAAAGTATAGTTAAAATAGTTATATTACTTCACTTTTCGTAGTGCTTCTGACATCTACAGTCCATAATATTAATTCTATCATTATTCTGACAGTATGTAGTATCTTTTTGACAGAGTATCATAATTTAATGGTGTATTTCATAAAAGTATAATCAATAATAACATTCAGTGACATTTTCACGCGAATTATCTCGAATTTACCTGTTTACCATAATACTATATTTATATCTCTTCATATAGGATATCCAATAGTATTGTCACTTTGTTTAGTTTGTAATCAACGGTAAGTTTTTACCATTTTTGGCATATATTAACTAGCTTGGCTTCGCTTGCGAGATAATATTTTTATATCTTCAGTACTACTTTTTGTGACTTCATCATCAACAGCCTTTAATAGTCCACTGCTGGACATAGACCTATCCTTAAAATCAGGCCTACTATACCACGGGTTGGTATAGGGTTTGTATTTATTTGATTGTGTTTTTGTGGCTTAAAGGTATTTAATGCGAAATTGTATGACGATCGTATAATAAAACAACGCATAACAAACGGACAAACAGAAACAGCTTTTTAAATACTAGATTATATGTGTCATTTATTTAAAGGAGTGCCTTGGTAGTTCAGCTTTACTTATAATATTGGCACGCGTATTTATGATTACTGAGACCCGTTTACGTTTGTCCCGGGGGATGCCTTCGTTCGGCAGTAAATGGCGGTAGGTTGATAAGAGACCCATTTGATTTCAAAAAGTACGGAACCAAAACAAACGAAGCCCAAAACACAAGCATTTGGTCCTGTCTTATAATTTAGTGGGGATGCCCTTCAAAGTCGAAATTTTCTAGCTGAACACCTATTACACTAAGTAGTTATATTACAGCTTTAATGTTTTTTCCTTAAATATCGATGATTCGTAAAAAAAAATCTATTGGGTTTTGCGAACCCTTTACGATTCTAAACCTCACGTATTTGACGTTTCGAAAATACTACAAAATAAAGTTATTTTTTACCAGGATTACATTCTGACTTAGTTACTGCAGTTGTGCTCGTAACTTATTTTCACAAATTATAATAATTTTAGGCCCAAAGGCTTAGCACGCAAAATACAAAAAATCAATCAAGACGAATTAATGATTTTGGACGTATACTTATTTATTATTTTGCAGGAAAAAAGTATGGACATAGTGCATTCAAACTTGCGATCGTAAAGATGTAGAGTATTACCAGCGTCAGAAAACAGTGATGTCGAAAGAAAATTGCTACTTAAATAAGTGAAAGTAAATTGAAGCTTGGTAAATTCAAGAGTGCCACAGAGACCTATTCATTTTCATCCAGTCATCAGATTGGTATTAATGACAAGTGGATACCATCCATGAGAAAAAAATATAAATTTAAATAATAAAATTTTAATTCGAAAGTAATGGAAGAATATATGGTGTCATACCTGAAAGTTATGTATTAAAGCAACAACTAAAAATTTAAAGTCAGTGAAGGAATTTACTGATAATGTAAGATTTCAACGAAATGGATTTAAAACACAAATAACATCATTAAAAATAACGTTACTATAATGTAGGTAATATCTTGAATACAAAAGATCATGAAGTATTCGGAAAAAAAATACCTCAAAAATACTCGTAGAACCCTAGATGTGCCTATTCTAAACACATTCAGTGTCTTGATATACCGTAAAAACAATATTCAATGTATTCACATCGTTTCGGTCTACTCCGTCCCAAATTAATATTCGAAAAATGTAACCATGTAATGGAAACAACAAAATATTTATGTAACTTAAGGTGCGAGGAAGAGAGAAAAGGCCTACATAAATGTCATGAAAAAATATATACTAAAAGAAAGACTTTCTTATTAAATACTTCTGATGATTGTGGAACACAAACGCCGATAAGATATGATGAAAAGATAAAACATACTGTTAAAGGAAATTGCATAACAAGAAACAAGAACACTTGTAAAAAATGTGAAACAATTGAGAATAAGAAAGGAGCTGTACTTTTGCACAAATATTCTAACCATCGTGCTTTATATGATCACAATTGGTACAATGGATATAGGGACCATGACAGTGTTTTCAAAGAAGTGGGTAAGGTCAATGTGGGTACAAACAATTCCAATATTTTGAAAGTTGATGCAGGAATATTAGCAAGTGATGAATATGACATGAAAACAAAACTACAACCTACACGTAAATGTGAACGATCTAAAAATTACAATAGATTAAAACAGGAAATCGAGCGTGTTTCTTCAACTGTTGAATGTTTTCAGGACGAAAGTTATACAGACAATATAGAATATAACAGTCAAAAGAAAAAATCTGAAAACTATGAATGTGGCGATGACGAAGTAAGGAGTAGAAAAAAACCACAAAAATTTGATTATAAACGACCTCTTAAGGGAGCAGAGAAAATAAAAGTCAACCCAAAAAATGAACATTTCTGTAATAATAACAGACAACCTAATATTTGGTTAAGACCTGGTTCAGATATTGAAGAGGACTTAAAAAAAAAATATGAAAATATGTTCAGAAAAACCAAAACAAGGGAAATATATAAATGTACAAGTGAATTAGGCTCTAAGTCAAGTATAGAATTACCAGAACCTGATGTTCATAAAAGATGTAAGACTCTAAGAAAAAATACATTCGAAGAAAAAAACTTGGGTTATGAAAATAGAAACGATTTTAAAAAAAAGCGGCGTCATGATGGGTGTTATAAACAACATTTACCAAAACAATCTTGTAATTGGAAAAATATAAAAAAATGGACTAAAAAACATGATTCAATGAGAGAGAAAAGTAATTTTAAATGTCCTTGTGAAGATACGATTAGAGTAATGAGAAAGAAAAGTAATTTTAAATGTCCTTGTGAAGAGTCTACCGAAATAACCTATCAAAAAAAAATTGCACCTCAACACCCGGATCCATGTAAACAAGGTGACGGGACCGTTCCCTGTATACAAGAGAATAATTTACAGAAATGTACTTGCAAAGTGGAAAGCTGTAACGAAATCTTAACAGACCCTGAAGATTTTGAAGGATTTTGTTACAAGCTACCATTACCTAGAAGATCTTGTCGCTCTAAATATAATAATACAATTAGGCTTGAAAAACAAATCTTAAATAAAGAATCGAAAAACTTTGAATGTCACTGCGAAAGATATCAAGCAAGCCATAAATCACAATTAGAATATCCAGAACCCGATACTTATGATACGGAGAATAATTTAAGAAGAAACATGTTTGATAAAAACTATCATGAAAATAAAACATGCAGTCAAAATTCGTGCAATATTGAAAAATATTACAAACAACCTCCACTGAAACAATGCCGTTGCAAAAATATAAAGAATTGGGCTAAAAAAAATGGTTTAAGCAAAATATCAGACAATATTAAATGTCCTTGTGAAGATACTCCTGGTATGAACTATCCAAAAAAAATAGCATCTGAATACTCAGATCTATGTAAACAAAATAACAATTTGAAAAGAAATACTTCGAAAGATAAAAACACAAAAAACGTTACGGATTTGAGACAAAAATATAGGTATTGCAAACAGTTCTTATCAAATTCATTTCATCGACATAATTATCGGAAGGTGTGGACTAAAAAGCACTGCTTTGATAATAACACAAATGGCTTTCAATGTCCTTGTGTTAACACTAGTGAACTTATCTATAATGAGCACAATACACTCCCAAAACGAGATAAATATGGACAAGAAAAAAATTCAAACGCACACATTTTCATAAATGAAAGCTTTGACGATAACATAAAAAATCTTTTAGATTCTAGCAATACGCTTCATTATTTTGAAAAGACCTTGCCAGATCAGTTTTATCGTGATAAAAATAATAAGACCTTGCCTAAAAAACAGACCTTAAATAAAAGAACAAATGCTTCTAAAACCCCCTATGAAGTTAACAATGAACTAATTACTAAAACACAGTCAGTTTGCGGACGATCTAATGTTGATAGTCATTTAAAAGAAGGTATTTGGCAAGATCAAAGAGTATATAAAAGTACAACCGATAGTCAAGATTCGAGTAGTAAATGTTATCATAACCAACAACTTTTACCAAAACAATGTTGTCGTAGCAAGAATATTAAGGTCTGGACTAAAAGACGGCACAAAAATGAGGAAACTGACAATTTGAGGTGTCCATGTAAAATAAATAAAATTCCATGTCGTACAAAAATGGAGCCATCAGATAGTAAAGGTCGATACATTGATGAATCAAATTATGATAAAAACCTACCTGAAAAACATAAGACGATAGAACAAATTGGTGATTTACAATGTCCCTATGACCTATCTAAGGGATCACAATTTAATTCGATAACTGATTATAATTACAACAAAGAAAAAAATCACCCTGGTCACCAAAACATTGATAAGAATATTGAAACCACAATAACCAAAGAAGAAAGAAATCAACTTGTGAATCAACTTCCAAGATCCAAAATAAATAAAGCTCAAAATTGTAGTAATACCACTGAAAAAAAATACAATTCTTATCCGAATGAAGATCTAGCATATAAAAGTAGAATATTGTCCTGTGCTGACACACAAACAAGTAATAGTTTTATTGAAAGTTCTGCTTTCAGTAGAACATGTCTTAATCAAACAGATCTTAAGGCAAAATGCACCGATGTCAACAGTTCTGATTATAAAATTGAATGCAAACCTGAAGAATCTGAAAGCAGAACAAAAGACAGTATGAGTGACCGAAATGTAATAAAAAGAAAAAGACCACACATTATAAAAAAAATGAGGTGCCTATGTACTCGTGGACACGTAAGAGATTTAAATAGTTTCAAGACCAACGACGATGATTTAGCTAATAAAAATGTACAGTGGTATAAAGACCTTAAAAATCAACCAGAACACGCCTTGGCGAGTTGTTTTAAAAACAAAGTTATAGTTAAAAATAACCTTTTGAGGAGTAAGAAGTTTGTTTCGCATGGTCTTCAATTAAAAAAAGTTGGACAATTAATCCCATTCATAAAAGGCCTTAAAATAAGCCTTAGAAGCCTCTCGAAAAATACTAATAATAAAACTATTATCAATATTTGAGGGTAATAATGAGGAAATTGAGAAACTATATTTTATGTGAGATATCTAAACACACGTTGTGAAGTAAATGTATAAATGGAATAATGATGTATTACCAATAGGCCCGTCTGTCGGATAGTTACAGGCAATCATAGTTTCTCGTGTTACCATAGGCCTGTCAGAAATAACACAGGCAGTCATATTTACTTATATTACCCATAGGACAGTCGACCAATATTATGGTATATAGTTTATTCTCGTACATTTCGTCGTAATCGTCTTATTGTTACTGAGGTCGAGAGAATACATGGAAGTAGTTCCAATAATAAAGCGGTTGCTAGGACGAGAACAAACATTTTTATACGTCTCAATGACTGAAATATTTTCTTCAATTAATCTTTTGTTATGTCAGACATCCTTTTTAATTAAATTAGTTATGTGGACATGACGATTTTTTCGTTTTTATGTATGTTAACCAAGCCATTCAGCCGAGTAGCTAGTTCACCTGAAAACAATGTGTTTTGCTTTTACTCAGTTCTTGTGCCAAACAGTAATTTTCATGGGTACAATATTATATTATCAAAGAGTTTTTTTTTAATAATCTATTCCAAACACACTCGGTTCCAAATAATTGAAATACCTCCAGAACTGTAAAAGTTAGATCAATGAAATAGAAAACAGAATAAAGACATTTTAGTTTCATTTCATTATGGATGCTTTCCATTTCTATTCTGTCACAAAAAAAATTTATCGTGAACGTCTTCCACGTGCATAATTATTATTCTGTGAGGTGAAGGATGGCAGTCACGCTAGAGGAATGTACCAGAATCCTAACTTTTTTGGAACTTGGGCGGAGCCAGCGTGAAACAGCCAGAAACATTGGTGTATCTTTGTCGACTGTTCAGCGGGTAGTCCAGCGGTACCAAGAGACCGGATCACACCTTAGAAGACCAGGAAATGGCAGACCAAGATGCACAACGGCCAAGGAAGACAGACAACTGGTGGCTACAATGCTCCGAAATCGTTTTCAAACTGCTGTTGGTCTAAAAACTCACTTTATTCGCTTTGGAGGTGGCAATTTAAGCGCTCAAACAGTAAGAAGACGTCTTGCTGAAGCAAATTTGAAACCATTGAGGCCCGCAAATGGCCCCAAACTGGAACGGGGACATCGAATTGCAAGACAGAGATACGTGCGCGAGCACCTAAACTGGACACTAGACGATTGGTTTAGGGTAATGTTCACGGACGAGACTAAATTCATGCTTTATAAGCATGATGGTAGGCAGTTGGTGTACAGAAGACCAGGGGAGCGCTTCCATCAAGCGTGTGTGGAGAAAAAAGTGGCGTACGGTGGAGGCTCCGTACAAGTTTTGCTGGGATTTCTACTGAGGCCCGCACCGAGCTGGTACTCATTCAAAATGGTACTCTAAATGCAGAGAGGTACGTGGAAGAGATCCTCAATGAAAATGTAGGTCCTTTCATGGCCAGGATGGACCGGCATGGCATATTATTGCATGATAATGCGCGTCCCCATACCGCCAGAATTGTACATGACTACCTTGAAGAGGTCGGTATCGAACTCATGCAGTGGCCAGCGCGAAGCCCGGACTTAAACCCCATCGAGCACGCCTAGGACGAGTTTCAGAGATGCGTGAAAGGTCGAAACCCCCCACCAATCACGCTTCCCGAGCTCAAACAAGCACTGGTGGAGGAATGGGAAGGTATTCCTCAGCACCGGCTACGAAATTTGGTGTACAGCATGCCTAATCGCCTGGAAGCTGTCAGAAGAGCTCGTGGAGGCAATACAAAGTATTAAATGAAGAAAGTGATGAAAAACAGCAAAAAACAATCATAAAAAAATGTAATCTTAAGAAAAATATGACTACTTTAGTTTTTTTTTTAATTTAGAGATAAGTTAAGAGTTAGAGAGTTTAGATTTAAGTTTTATTTTATTTTTTATCTGTATAATTAAATTCTCAATTGAACAGTCTTCGTTTCATTAGGATGGCATACGTAGTTCGGGAGATATTCGGGTTTATGTGACTGACCCGTTATTTTTGGAACCGATTTTAGTTTTATGTATATTGTAAAACTAGCGGCACCCCGCGGTTGTTGTTATACCTTGGTCACCCCACGGAAACACCCCATTTTTTCAGCATAAAAAATAGCCTTTCTATCCCGAAAAAATGTGTCTCTGTGCCAAATTTCATCCAGATCCGTTCCGCCGTTTTTGTGTGAAAGAGTAACAAACATCCATGCTAACTTTCACTACTTTATAAGTATGAATTCTAATTTATTAGTAAGATAGTAATATTTGAAACTTTTCCTATTGGCGGATACTGCTTTCGGGAGTCCCACACACGCCCTCCGTTGGGGAAACGGAGGGCGTGTGTGGAACTCCCGGAGAACTGGTCTACCTACTGAACCCCGCGGCAGCTTACCTCGACAGTTTGGAGGAGCTCCAGGAATGCATCGGCGGCATGCAGGGTGACCGTAGTCACACATAGTAAGAAGTTCCCTTCGCCGCCAGCTTCGAGCGCAATCGGCCCTCTTCCGATCCCGCTCTGCGGTCTCCTTCTGGATCATAACGTCCTTGCAGAAGGAGACCAAAACAAACAAACAAAACCGGTATTTTGACAGAAACTATTGGAATCTAAATGTTCAGAGTGGTTTTACAGTCAAGTTTATATTCTGTCTTTTTCTCACATCTAGCTTTTTGTGTAAGGCTAAGTATCTCGCTCGAGACGTTACATTGAAGACATGTATGTCAAACTGTTCACATTTTTCGCTTAGATGTTGTTTGATACATAATTGATTTATGCCGCCGTAGTCAAATAATAGAACAAGTTAAAACTCTACCTAATAATAATTTATGACCTCGGAACATAATTTATTACAGACATATCATATTTAATATTGAACTATTTAAAAAAGAGGCTCTCTCTCTCATATTTACTGTAGCGGACGTACGATCTTTCGAATAGGCAATGAAATATTGTGTCATAACAATTAACATTGAATACAGGTGTTGAAACTCGTTTGAGGCGGCGAGTCTCCTGGGACTACCGTGGGACATGGAGACGAGAGCCCTTTCGGCTCTGTATCAGTGGCGCAAGGAGGCGCGGGAGTTGGGTTGGAGTCCTGAGACTCGAGAAATCGAGGATCAGAAATCCCAACTTAATTTCAATTCCAATTTAAATTATTGCATTCTATAATGTACATTCAGGTGGTAGGCTTAAAACTAGGTAACAATTATGGACCCTGTCGGGTACAACACTATCAGGAGAGAGGAGGAGCTGCTTAATTATGCTAGTTATTAAAGTTTTAATTCAATACGAATATTATCTGATTTAAAGGAGATAAATTAATTAAACTTTATACTCCTAGTATATTAACATTGCATATTCATAATAGTATGTAGTTGTTGATAATTTAATAAATTTATTATTGAACAATGTCATCACAAAATTAGTTTACTAGTTATTGTATGTAAATTTATTGTATAGCCATTAATTATATATATATATATATATTTTTTATTAAATGCAAGTAGGCAAGTCAAGTGTTTCTTACTTCCGTTGTGTAATCAAGTTATTTCTCCTTTCTTTCCCTTTTAAAAAAAAAAATAAATAAAAATAATTTCATTGTAATAAAATAATTTTATGTCTACACTTGTATGTGTTTATAATAATTAGTAATTATTATGTGGGTAACTGTAGTTATTTAAAGCTTATAATTTATCTTTTAGGTATTCCTTAAAACTGTAGTAGCATTTACTTATTAGAAGTTTTTTAAATTTGTTAACAAAAGTATTGAACTTATTTTCGTTTTTGATTTCGTTTGGTAGCCTATTATATACTTTTATTGACATGACCAATGGCCCAGAGGAGTGAATTGCTAATCTTGAAGTAGGAAGGTTTAATCTGCTTTTGTGTCTTAGGGTCATTTTAGATTGAATATCCACGCGCTTGGTGTAGTGTTCTGGATATTTACGGAGAAGTTTACATAATTCCAAGAATCTTAATCTACATGGTAATGTTAGGACTATGAGTTCTTGAAAGTGAGATTTACATGTGTCGGCATTTTGTATATTGACCAAGACTTATCAATGCCCTTCGTTTATTAAAAATAGCGGGGGCGTCTGTACTATTGCCCCACAAAATTACGCCATAACTTAGCCAAGAATGTGCGTAGGCGAAATAAGTGACAAGTGCAGTAGGTAGATCTGTGGCATTTTTAACTTCGCGTAGGGCGTATGTAAAGCTTGATATTTTTGCTCTCACCTTTTTATGTGGGCTCTCCAGTTGATATGCGTGTCTACGGTTAGCCCGAGTAAGTTAAACTCATTAACAACCTCTAACTTTGATCCATTAAATGTGAAATTGATGTCAATTGGTGATTTTTGGTGTGGATAGAAAGTAATTAATTTGGTATTTGAGAAATTTATTTCCAGATTTTGTTTGTTCATCCAGTCCCCTGTTTTTGTGAGTGTAGATTTTCACAAACATCTACATTAGTGGTACACGAAGTGAGCAAAGAGACGTCGTCCGCAAATAAGACACATGGTCCGTTTATTGTTTTGGGTAGCTCGTTTACATAAATTATAAACAATAGGCACCCAATTACGCTACCTTGAGGAATAGAGGCTCTCATATCTTTCTTGTTGAACGGATTTTTTGTATCTCGTGTGTTTTTGTTGAAGAATTCTAGTTCTACTGTTTGTGCCCTACCTGTTAGATATGACTTTAGCCATTCGTAAGCTTTACCCCGGATTCCAGTTGCATACAGCCTATTTGATAGAATTTTAAATTGAACTTTGTCGTATGCTTTGCTCATGTCTAATAGAATACCTATTGCGTATTGTTTATTATTCAAAATGTTTAGGGCTTCTTGGATGTTTTTATATACTGCTAAGGTCGTCGATTTAATTTTGCGAAATCCAATCTGGCATTCATCTAATATTTTATATTTTTCACAGAATTTTTTTTTCGGTTCGTTTTTGGTCGGTTCGAGTCCGACAT